GGGCTTGAACCCGGGCCTTACGGCTCAGGGGTAGGGACACTACAACTGCGGCACAAGAGCCCTAAATATAGTAGGTAATTTTATTGCAGCAATGCAACTGAGATTTTTGAACAACCTGTTCAAATATGATATGACAACTGTGGAGCAGGTTGGACTTGAACCTGGGCCTCCCGACTCAGAGGCAGGGACATTACCACTGTGTCAAGAGCGCAAGGCAATGAAGGATTGAAATCTGGTTAATTGTCAAACGCTCTTCTATGTTGTCCATTTTATACAACTGTTTTATTTTGTTTTCATTTTAAACGGGGGCAGTATGATGAGGTTAGTTATGTATTAATCAACTTCCAGGTGATTTTTAACAGTGTCCCTAACCTACAATCTTTGGCACCGTTTACTATAGACGGAGAACACATTCATAATCTGTTCCTAATAACTGGTACAAAAGGACATATTTCAAAGCGGAATACGATCACGCAGAATTATTATTTTACAAATCGCCTATTCGGGAGTGTGGATATCGGGTCGGAGCAGCTGCCTCGTGTCCCAATTTTTCCTGAATATTTCTGAAGAAGGGTCCCGACCCGAAACGTCAACTTTCCTGCTCCTCCGATGCTGTCTGGTCTGCTGTGTTCCTCACTGTGTTAACTCTGCCGCCAGCATCTGCAGTTCTCCCAATAATCCATTAATCGCTTTTACGTTAATGATAAACGATAACGTCTTCCCCTCTCGCAGTATGAGCTAAATCCCACCTTTGCAGCTCCATCCTGATTTACTCCCCTTTCCTTCTCTTTCTCTCACATTTCGTGGTTTACATTTTCCTCACTGGGTTTTGCAGGTAAATTAATCAGTTGAAAGACAGGGGTGATTTACTGCTGGTGGTTAATGTTTGAAAAAAAGCTTCGCGTGATTTGATGATGGAGAAAAGAAAACGTTTTGTTACGTGTAAGAGCACTTTCCTTCTATAAAAAAGGGGGAAAACGATTTTTTTTAAAGAAAGGAGCTCAGTGTTAAATGAACATTTAGCAGCTTTCCTCCTAGCTGAGGACAGCTTCCCCGCTGTGTAACAATCAGGGTTGTGAAACTCCAGTTAAAATTCGCCCTCGCCTTTGAGCAGGCCTATTCTAAAGACATTTGCGGCGGATCTTTGCGAGGGATTTAGTAAGAGAGAAGGCGGCCATTCAGCCCCTCCAGTCTCTGCTGCTATCCAGTTGGATCTGGACCTATCCTAGCTTCACCATCGCGTCATAGCTCTTTAACTTACTTTTTTAAAGGAATCTTCTGACGAACGGCGATTATAGGCTAAAAGTGTGGTTGTTAACCCGACGTGGAGGTGACAGTGTTGGACTGGGGTGGACAAGGTCAGAAATCACACGTCACCAGGTTAGAATCCAACAGGTTTATTTGAAATCACAAGCTTTCGGAGCCTCGCTCCTGCTTCAGGTGTTAGTAAGGAGCGAGGCTTCGAAAGCTTGTGATTTCAAATAAACCTGTTGGACTCTAACCTGGTGTCGTGTGATTTCTGACCTTGTTTTTAGCCCGAGTTGAGGTGAGGAAGGGAGGCCCCGAGACCATCTCCTGATTAGGTGGGGGCGGGGAGGGGGGCGGGAATGTATTGGGGGTATCGAAGCCCGTGTGTGGGGTTGTCTTGATCCACGCCAGAGAAAACAACATCAGCCACTCGCTTAAACGGGGAGCATTTCAAACCAACCAAGAAAAAGCAGCATTGTCCGGGTCCAAATTCAGCGCCTGGTGCATGGACACGGATTGGGATCCACTGAAACTCGATTCGCAGCCAGACCATCAGTAACCTCAGCCTCTGAGAGTCGGGATGGTGTCCTGTGCTCAGCCACACAACTGCCTCTCAACTGCATGTTTGGATCAAGAGTGTGAATGCGGCCGGGGGCAGTCGGTTATACGGGATTAAGAAAGGCTGCCCAGTCTCGTTAACGGTACTCCTCCAACCGGCAAATGCTTGAAATTAATGAGTTAATTTACGACAGACGAGCATTTGTAGTTTTACCGAGAAATTAGCGCAGGACTTGCCATGAAACTGGGAGAGTTTGAGAAGGAGAATCCGTCCTGCTAACCTCAGCGAATTGAAACCATGCTGTTGGCATCACTCTGTATCATAAACCAGTCATCCAACCAGCTGAGCTAACCGTGTGTGTGTGTGTGTGTGTGTGTGTGGGTGTGGGTGGGTGGGTTGGGGTGGGGGGTGGTATGGGGGGTGGGAACGGGTGATTGTGTGAAACAGCTAAGATTTTACCGATATTTACCTTCAATCGGCGCAGGTGATTATCTTAAAGTGTCAGCGTCAATTTGGTGTGGCACAATCTAAATGCCAGAACAGCGCCGTTTGTTTAAAAAAATGAACAATTCATTTCACTTGCGAAATTCAACAGCCCCCGCTCTCTCTCCAACTATCGGAAATCGGTGCTTTATGCTTCCTGAATCCAAGGAACTCATCGAACTCCAGTGCCTATATTATCTGTAACCCGGCTTAATATAGACCATCTTCTAGCTCTCACACGGTTTAATCTACCGAGCTGACAGGCTAGGTCTGGGTCATTCTCAATACACCTGGAATTGTTCGGGCCTTTTGAGACGATTGTGAGGAGGCGCTACATAAATTAAATCTTGATGCCATCGTTTGGTTTTGCCATTGATTTGGGACCCCGGAAAGACCCGCGTGTTAGTGACCAAACAGCGAGAAAAGGAGCCGTTAAATTTCTTTCCTCCCCTTTCCACACAGGACCGTATTTTTATCCTGTTCCGAATAAATTGGGAAAGTTGAGCAGTTTTGCTTGGCTGTCGAAGCCGCTCTCGAATATTAGATAACAAGGTGTAGAGCTGGATGAACACAGCAGTCCAAGCAGCATCAGAGGAGCAGGAAGGCTGACGTTTCGGGTCTCGACCCGAAACATCAGCTTTCCTGCTCCTCTGGTGCCGCTTGGCCTGCTGTGTTCTTCCAACTCTACACCTAGTTATCTCAGATTCTCCAGCATCGGCAGTTCCTACTATCTCCGCTCTCGAATATGTTCCTTCGTTGGAAGATGAGCCTTTTAGGTCTTGTGTCACCGTGGTAGTGTCCCTATCTCTGACCCAGAAGGCCTGGGCTCAAGCCCCACCTGCTCCAGAGGTGTGTAGTGAACACATCTTGAACATGAGCCTGAAACTTATTTATCGCTATGTTTCTGATAAAGGACACGTGGATGTTAAATTAATAGCAACGACTCGTCATCAGAACTGGGTATTTTCTGAAACATACTTTAAACTTTTTTTCCAGGCGTTTAGGTCTGTCTAAGCTCAGTGAATTCTAAAGACCATTAGGAATAAGAGGTCGTTCAGCCATTCCGGCGTGCTATGCTGTTCAATTAGACTTCGGACGATCATCCTCTCTACTCCATTGACCCGATTTTGCTTCATATCTCATGCGAAAATCCTACCAGTTCAAACTCCAAAGCTCAATTTTTCCATTGCACAAATTATACATATGATATTTATTTTGTAAGATAATAATGGCCTTTAATTAAAATTTCATTAGAACGATTCCTTGTCATTAAATATTAATCAGAATTGTTTTTATCTGAATTCGCAATTTAATTAAATTAATTTCAGTTCTGGTACAGAGAGTGCACACTCGGTCATGAATCCATCTTTCTGTTTTTTTTGTCTTGTGGTATCATTGCTTGACTATTAATCCGAAGATCCAGGTGACTTTCGTGGGTGGGTTCGAATCTCAATAAGGTAGAAGGTGAAAATTGAATTAAATAAATAGCCGGACTAAGAGTCTAATGATGGCATGACGATCTGTCCTATCTGGTTCATTAATGTCCTTTAGGGAAGGAGATCTGCCATCCTTACCTGGTCTGGCCTACATGTGACTCCATAGCGGTTTGACTCTTAAAAACAGAAATTGCTGGAAATGCTCAGTAGTTCTGGCAGCATCTGTGGAGCGAGAATTCAGAGTTAACTTTCCTTCTTCAAAACGGTCTGCCAGACCTAGTGAGTTTTCCCGACAATTTCCGTTTGTGTTTCTGATTTCCAGCATCGTCCCCGGGCTCTCTGATTAGCGGTTGACTCTTAACTGTCCTCTGAGCAAATTAGAGATGAACAATAAACGTTGGCCCAACCAGCGACACACACATCCAGTAAATGAATAAAAAAAATTCTCTGCATTCTCTTTTTTTTCTACGTGTCATTAAGGGGCATGGTTTTAAGTTTAAGTTAAAATAAATGCTTAGATAACTTTTTCGTTTTACAATGAAAGTTAGTTACGAATATTAGCTGCACTTTTTTTTCAAACATTTCCCTGTAGAGATCTGCTACAGATATTCTAACGCTCTGCACCTATCACAAACCAATTGGTAATGGGTTCAATTTACTATTTCCAACTTTAACCCTCAGAATTTTTCTGGGTTGTGTTTCTAATGTCGGATCTCCTGAATGTTATCTCCTAACCCCAGTGTTCAAAGCGGATGTGTCCTGGCAAAAGATAACGGCACCTAACATAGTGCAGGCGGTGAGTGAAGCGAAGGGAGAGAGACAAGGGGAGGTGGGGAAGTCCTCGGTGTTTGATGCCTTTGTCGTTGTAAGAAACGTATAAACGTACAAATAGAGAGAGAGAAAAAAGTGCAAGCTCTTTGACAAGATCGGTTGCCAAAACGCTCCCTTTATTACGGCGGTTACCTCACCCTTTGGACACTGTGTTAAACCATGAGCTGCTGGTGCCAAAAGCCTCAAGATTTTCTAAATATTCGCTTCAAAAACTGAACTCATCTATATTGTTTGAGTCCATCAACATTGTCAAGCGTTTGCCAGCGGCAGTATTGCCGTATTTACAGCGAGCGCAATGAATCGTGCATCCTGGAACAACTTTTCACAGGGCCTTCATAAACTCTCAAGACAATTGACGTACAAAAGACAGTCGGGATTTGTTTTTCAAAATATTAATGAAGTAGTCTATTCTCAGAAGAGAGAGAGATAATGAACGTTTAGTCTTTTCCTTTAAAGTTACCAGTTTATATAGAAAATTACAACACGCTGGTTCATTTAAAAAAATATGAAAGCCATTTTACAACAAACATCGTTTTCACGTTAAAACATCATCAGCCACTAAAAAGTAACGGTAACTATCTAAATATACAGTATCTACATGTTTAGTATCTACACTTATCTACACTACCCCGCCCTTAAAGTTGCCATCCCTTAGGTTACTGTCACTCTATCATGCAGCCCCTCTGTTATTAATATAATCATTTGAATCATCCACATTGCAAGGAATAATAAATACCAACAACTTCATTCCGCGTTAAATTCAGCAATAACCAAACTTTGGCACTATAATTTCAACAGGTAATATCCGTGAATGTGTGTGTGTGGATATATTTCAACATATCACAAATAGCAACCGACTAATCGGCAATTAGTTTTTGCATCTCTCTTCCTGTTTCAGAACCCATGCAGAAATTAGGGCATTCTCTGCTAGACATCAGACTGAACAAGAAATGCGAGTGATTTAAATTTCCGACATGAAGGTAACGCAATGAAATCTCTGGATCGGGCTGATTGTCTCATGGCGGGTGCCTGTATTTTAACAGTAGCACAGTAATAAATGTAAAATACATCCTCACATCCATTTCCCAAATATATTTAGTTGCAATCTGCACACAAAAACGAGAGAAATACACATATATATTAAATTAAAATATTACAAATGCTGGGATCAGTAGGTAGCTTTAAACTTGCATTGCATAACTTATCAACGATAATTCATGGTGAGTTCTGAAATGATTTCTTACTTTCGTTTAAAAACATAATACTTAATGCACTGGGAATGTGATGTCTACTTAATTTGTCTACGAGGCCACCGGGTAGGAACACGCAATCAAATAAATGTCTCTGTAGCCTGGATGACGGTAGGCACCGTTGATACATTCAAAGCACACTCTTTTATAACACAGGAACGGGTTAAGCCTTTAGCTGCGTGGTTATTTGCCCTTGTGAAATTGTCGCCATCGACACCATCGCAAACAACATATGGCTTCTCTCAAAGCTGAAAGTGCAACTAGCCACCTTTTTTTTCTGCCGTCTAAATACACCATAATAAAAACTCCAGTTGCAGTGTGAGGTTCCTATTCATTTTCCTTAGTGCAGTCACTCACGCCCTGGCCTTCCAGTCGACCACGTGGGACAGCCCTGCTTGGGAACACCCACCCACGCCTTTTCCCCAATTGGTCAGAACCTACCAGCCTGCGGCCGCCGATTGGCGAAGCGCACGTCAATCAATAAAGAATATCACCAATCACAAGTCGGCAATTGCAGTTGCCCAGGCTTCCGACCAATCACGACTGAAACCCTCCTTCCAGCTGCACTGCGATTGGTCAGTGGGCTATCAAAACAGCAGCCGCGCAGTCACTGACCCTTCAAGTGAAATATTGAGTTTCACCAACTTGCAGCTCCCTTGAGCTGCAAATGGTGGCAACAGTTCCATTAAAACCAAGAGACAGGTTATTCCCCCTTTGATTTGTGCATCTTCTTCAGTTTGCAGCATGAGTAGTTCCTTTTATTAAAAAGTTACAAGTACCTAGCCCATTCTCGTCTTTGACGTTATCTGTGCCCATAGTCATAGTTAGTGGGCGCTGCACTGGCAGGGTACATGTTTGCAGTCGGGTTCATGTGATGGTAGCCGTGGCTCGCTATGCCAGACAGCGGGTAAGGGGTAGGCCTGGCTTTGGCACCGATGTAAGCATCATGGTACGAACGGTACTTGTAGGTGTGGTGCAGGCTGTCCGGCGGCTGCGGGTGAGGCTCCAGCCGCAGTTCGTGTGGAGGGCTTGGCCGGGTGAGCGGGTGCAATCCGCCGGGGAGAGCCGGGCTCAGCACCCGCGACATGAGCTGCTGCTGATGGGGGTGGTCCGGGTGCATGGCCGTCCGGTTGGAATCCCGGTCATATTCGCCTCTGGAGTCCGCATCTACCAAAATAACGTGCCAAAGTTTATAAACGTACACACCGAATATCCCGGCTCACAATAACACCAGCCCGTGATATCTTGAATTGTCAAGTAATGAACATATGCTTGCTTGAATACACCTAGGTTTTCTCTGGTTGGGGCGATCCAAAGTGTTAAATATTCACGAATAAAGAATTCAGGAGCAATTTCTTGAACCAGAGAGCGGTAAGAATGCGAAATCATCATCTTAGGAAGTGGTTGAAGCGATTAATTTAACTACATTGAAAAGAGAAGCTCTTTAAACAGACTAACGGGGAACTCAGAGATAGAGGGCTATGCTAATGGGTTAAAATGAAGATCGGAAGAGGTTCATGTGCAATTTAAACACTAGATGGGCTGGTGTTGTTCTCCTCTGAGGGGAGGAGGCTGGGGTGGAATCTGAATGAGGTGTACGAAGCTCTGAGGGGCATAGACAGGGTAGTTAGGAGAAACTTTCCCTTTTAGTAGATGGGTCAACAACCTCGGGGTACAGCTTTAAGGAGGAGGCGCTTTAGAGCGAATTTGAGGGAAAAATGTTCTCACCCAGGGGTAGGTGGGAATCTGGAACTTACTGCCTGCAACAGGCAGAAACTCTTATAACATTTAAGAACTATTTCGATAAACTCTTGAAACGCCGTAACACACACGGCCAAATGCTGGGAAATGGGATTAGAATAGATGGATATTTGACGACGGGCGAGGACACGATGGGCCGAAGGGCCCCTTTCCTTCCTGTAAAATCCTTATGAGTAGACTGATCTGGCTGAAAATTTTAAGCAAGTTTATCCACCCTGTCCCTGTTCTGAACTATTTGGCAAGACATAAAAATGCCTTCCCCGATCGTCCCTTTTAAAAAAATACAGGAAATGCAACATTACGTTCTGGATTCCAGGTAAAGCAAAATGAATATGAACATTGTATCGTTGTTAATGCATCCAGAGTCTAAACTGTTGTCTGTGATTGTAGGCGAACCTAAGAAAACAATCAAAATTACTTTATCCAGCCTAACTGATAACGTTAAAAAAGATATTTTTTTCGAAAGTGAAATTAATTTAAGATGGGATACAGTGTGCCTTTATTATTGCAGTAGCTGGGCGGTTGAGCAGGATTAAGATTCTGACCAAATCCAGCTCCTAACTCATTCTTAGATGAATTACAGCAGAAACGCAGCAATGGGTACTGGGAGTAAACAGGGTAGTTGTGCACTGGCACCACTTTTGCTTCGGCACAAGCCTTTCTGTTGTGCATCACAAATAGAGGATGGACCAGCAAAAAGGAAAACAGTTCTCCCCGCGGTGAAAAGCCGTACAGAAAACAGTTTCAGTTAAAGTAATTCAGGTTTGCTTGTCTCAAGACTCCTTGCAAAAAAGAAATGGTGGATTTGGAGATGATTTAGGCAAACAAAAAGGCTATCAATTATTTTCCGGAAAGTCGTGCTCTGGCGAAAAATGTCTTTCTTTTGAAACATAAGATTAGATAAGATGTTGTTTTGAAGTAGGTGCAGAGAGTTAAAGGACAAAAAAGAGAGGCTGTTGTCAGAGTTACAGGTATGAAATGAAGATATGTGGAATTTGCTTGAACGGCTCTGTTCAATTATTTAAAAAAACACAGGGAAAGGTATGTTTAAATGCATTTCCGTTCCTCTGGCACAAACATCAAGAACCTCTCCGCCTCTCTATCTCACGTCCTTCCTTTAGGACACTCTTCAAAACCTACCTCCTGGACCAAGCTTTTGGATATCTGACCTTATACCTCCCTGGAGACTGGAAACTGGTTTTCTGATGCTCCCTCGAGGCGCTTTAGGACGTTTCATTGTTTTAGGGGTTCGATATAAATATCAGTTATTGCTATGCCATAACATGACACCCCAAAGCAATTTTAAGGAAAAAAAACATTTGAAAGTTAGTCACCGTTGCAATATAGAAAACAGGGTAACCTATTTGAACACAACGTCATCTCACTTACTTAAAGGGCAGTGATCAGATAACCGCTTTTGCACTGATCTTAGTTCAAATATGTACGTCAGACACTGAGGCACTCCCTTTTCCCGCACTCAAATAGCAGCCTAGATTATGTCCACGAATGGTTGGAGTGGGCCTTGAACCCACAACCTGCTGAGTTACAGGCCAGTGTATTTTCGCTCTTGTTGAATAGTAGGTCCTTATTACAGCGTGGCCACAGAAGCGTCCACAAAACCGGGCACTGCCAGGTTTTAATTTGACTTGTGCTACACACTTGCATTCAGAATTATCAGAATTTCTAAAGTTATTTCGTTATTCCTGGAGACTAGAAATTCATTCTTCAATGCTTAGAATCCGCAGTAAGATGATCCATTGTATGGTATAGGTGCAGTATATCTCTAAATTCACACAAATCAATCTAATTGGTGGAGCTAAGATGTCTTCAAATTCAAAGAGTAACTTTACAGTTAATGCATATTAAACATTGTCCTTGGTCAATTTTTCATCTCCTAACCAATACACAACAGAAAAAAATCTAACTTGTGGAATCTTGCTGTGTGCAAACTAGTCTGTAAGATTTACCGGCATGACTGCACCTCAAAAAGTAAATAATCGGCTGTGACTCCCTCTGACATGTCTTAAAGACATGAGACAAAGTTATTTTGTACCTTTCTAATATGAAGTACTGATAAAGGCGTCCAGAGTTATCTTGCGTGAAAGAAACGGGCTGTTTGAGATCTTGAGTGGAGTTACCAAGACGCAGGGAGAGAAATGCAAGGACGTACCTTTCTCGCTGCCGTTCTGTTGTGGTGAAGACACTGCGTTCCTGTTTCTGGCGAAAGCACTGATTAACTGTAAAGACCCAGGCCTGTGATTCCTCGGCCTAAAATATGGTACAAAACTGTTCATTCGAGAACATTCATATCAATCTCAGGTATTGTGTGTATGTTTTGTTTTAATTAAAAAAGACGACAATGCAGGCAAAAAATATTTGCTTTGAACTACAGGCTATAAACAAAGGTTAAAAAAAACGTTAATCACACGGGCAAATGCAATTCATCTATCGCGGACAGTCAAAAACACAGACTTACCAATCATCAGGATCGCAGTCTCTGAATCCTTTTGCAAATGGATTGCTGGCGATCTTCAGTTGTGTTATCTGAGGGGATTAACAATAAATACTTATTTGTAGTTAGGGCTTGAGACAACAGTAAAAGTAAATATGTACAGCTTTAAAACGACAATTTATTCGTGTGTAAAGTAAACATATCCTTCACTTTAAACAATAAAATAGTACTTGTGACTTGGAAGATGCAGGTGCTGCCAAAGTGAACTCAGTTTTGACTTTGAATGTGTTTTGAAAATTATTTCCAAATAAGGGGAAATTAAAAACAAACAGCATGAATAAATAGATATTTTGAAATGGTGATATATGCACTGGCACCTCAGGTTTAGCCTTTGTAAATCAGATTGATTCTCACAGGCAATAAAATGGATGTTACTAATAATTGGTCACTTTTAATGGTTCCAATGGCACCTTATCCTTGATTTAAATGCACAGAGAAGTCACATTTCAACGACAGATAACGCTGTATTGAACAACTTGCAAATATATCAAATTATTAAGTAATTTCTCGCATATACAATTTTGTCACATGCAGATACGATCAGGCGCGAAATGTTATATTGTTGTTAATTCGTGATTAAAATGTGCCCCTGTAAATGTCCGGAATGGCTGTAAAACAAACTTTAATCCGTTATTGACAGTTGCAGACGGAAAGGTTAACTGATGGGAAGCAGGAGGTATGGCAGTCAGACGGGGACCAGATGTTCACAGACATCAGGACTATGCCAACGGCCTTACACATCGGTATTTCAGTTCTTTTAAAAAAAACCAAAACTGAAACAGATTTACAGTCTCAAACAGTATTGAGACATCGCTTCATATCTTAGTTCTTGCAGATTAATATTTCAGGAGTCTGGCAAAAGCAAAATAAAATGCAATGCAACCCAATGTGTCTCTATGTAATTGTGTCACGCTGCCTTTGATTGACAATTCTTGCTGGGTCGCTTGCCGTGAAAAAAAAGCATATAAAGCCGGGGCCTTGAATGTACACAGATAATTGCGTCCCAGTGGGTTTTAGGAAGTTTTCTATAGTCATAATTGCAGGCCCGGAGCCCTTTGGGGTTGGCTGAAATGTGCAACATTATGGATTTGGAGCTGAACTCCCTCAGCTATCAAGTTCCGCACAGAAGTTTCAGGAATGAGTTGAACAGATGCACTGGAATGAGGGTACACTTTTCCCCAGATACTCTCCAAAACAGACCTCAGCTCTCAAACGGCAACCGGGGGCTGCCAAATCAAATCTGGCTCTTTTTTTGAAAAAAGAATCTGTTTCATGCTCCAAGCTTTCTGTAATCAAGGTTCATGCATGCCAAGCCGAGATGTACAACAGATGATAATATGATTTAGAGCAAAGATCCGCAGGCATGACACTAGTGACACATAGCCTTGGTTCAATTTTATATGCACGGAAAATGCAAGCGAGACGGAGCATTTCAATCTTACTTTTGAGGATTAATGTTTTATAGCTGTCTGGATGCGTCCTGCGTTATTATTTAAAGGGAAGTACAAATTTAATTTGTCTCTCTGTTCTTTTGACTCATTGAGGGGAATGGGTCGCCTGTGTGCCTTTAGGAATTGCAAATAAGGTAATTACAAATCTCTCCCTCAAGTAAGTTAAGTACAAACGGCGCATGGACTCTGTTTATTTAAGGTTAACGGCTTATTTATAATTGTTCATGCGCAGTTACGTGGAATATATCTTGCCAATTGCAGCAAACCCGTTCTAAACATCGATATACATTCATTGATTGGCCACTGTTTCATTCCTCCCCGGGATTCGAGTCTGTTAAAACTAATTTTAATGAAAGTCCACAGTTCACGAAAACTAATCGTGACTGAGAGACCCCAAGCTTTTCATCAATGTTCAAATTCAAGTTAGCTGTGCCCTTTAATGCGGCCTTTAACTGCTGGAAATTAATGATGGTTTCTGGATTTTAAAAGAAAATCCTTCTGGGTCGCCATCCATCATTAACAACATTGATGAATGGATGTCCCCCAAACCCGGCAACAGCGTCTGACTGTGAGAGCAGAGGATGATCCCAATAATGACTAATAATCTTCAGACACACACGCACGCACATACATACCCGATGGTTCTGATAGGCCGTGACCGCTGTAAATCTCGTCTCCTCGAATAGAAATGTTTTAAAGTTTTCCTCGGCATATTTTTCACTGTCTTTCCGGGGGTCGACATACACGACGTGGAACCGCGGCTGGTATCTGTGCATCGAGTTTAATATAATCTGCGTGAAGGGAGAGGGGTTGCAAAAACAAAAGGAAACGATTTCAAAATTCACGGCTCAGCCGGACACCCAACCCTGTAAAAATAAAGGGGGGGACGTAAATCTTCAGCCTACTTACATGACCGTTATCGTCCAATAAATTATTGGTTAGTTTTAGCTTGTCGAAAGAGACGATTTGCTTCATCCATTGAGCGCCTTTGGCTGGGGAGTCCGGATGATAGTGCACTCTGCCTGGAGTAGCTGGATCTGCCTTACCAGCTACAAGCCAAGATGAACTATGAAAAGCATACCTGAACAGGAGAGGACAAATAAATAAATAAATTCTGCCATTCACACCAAATAAATAAACACGGCCAATTCATTCATAAAGTGCCAGGAAATCGTAATCAGTTTGATGTATGGGGCTGGGCCAGGTTTCAATTTTAGGAGCAAACCAGAATTTCTGCTGCTGTTGTCTTTCCATGGAAGGCAGGTTAACTTGGCCTGCGAATAAAGGAAGCATAATTATTGTGGCTTTTCCTGATCCCTGCTTGATGTTACAGGCGCGAGGATTAAAGAGTTTCTGGTTAAAAAAAATTAACGACTCCGTGCTTATAGTGCCAATGCTCGATAGCACTTTGACTGGGTAAGGTTTAAACAGTATGGGAAGCCAAAACCGTTCATTAGCAAATAAACACGATAGAAATAATAGGGCTCCTGTGGCGCAGTGGTAATGCTCCTACTTCTGAGCGAGGAGGCTCGCATTCAAGCCCCATCTGCTCCAGAGGTGTTCAGGAACATCTCTGCCCAGGTTGACTAGAAAATGCCTGAACTAATCACATTTATCTGAACAGCGGATTGATTGAAAAAGTCTAGAAACAGTGCTGCAGAGTCCTCTGGTGAACGCGCATTATCAACGGTTTTTCTACTCCACATTTCTGAAATAAATAATCCACTTTACAATTGTATCCTGCTGACACAAAGTGCATCTTAAGGCTCCTTTTTTTAAAAAAGAAAATAACATTTGGTGAAATGCCCATGTCCCGTCGGCCGTACCTATACGTCATCAGAGTGCTGATTCTGATTCCACTTGCATATATTCGGGAACACAATGCGCGCTTATGTATAGAGATCTACAGCACATAAAAAAAGGCTCTTCGGCCCGTTGAATCCGCACCACTCAACCACAAAAAAATCCTTAACTATTCTAATCGCATTTTCCAGCATTTAGCTCCTAATCTAACACGTGGGTTACCAGTCCGATTGTTTTTAAATACCCCAACTTGTTTTTAATCATAGATAGAATTATCTGTATGTGTCCTCGCCAGCAACCTTTATTTTAGAATTGTTGCAAGCGGATGTGTCAGCTCAAAATGTTCCTTGAAAGAAACCTGCCTTCATTCACCTAGTGTCCTACTTTAATCGTCACGTTCAGTGCCTTAGAAGATCATAAAGAATTGATTTTTGTTCCAGGAACTCGGAACAGAGCTGGGGAGAATGGCGCCCTCTATTTAAAATTGTATTACTTTACAAAGGAATGAAGGGAGTACAGTCTAATCAAACCCATCTCAGCCGCGCAGCAAAGCTTTTTATTTCATGACTTGCAAAAATCCACCGGGAAAGCGCCTGGTGAACACGGTCGGATGGAGATTAAGAGTACGAAAACTGAGGGGTTAGTTCGGATCACTTCCCTTTCTTTCCAGAATTTTGCATTTTAAAAGTCGGCTACAATAAGTTGTTCCTGGTCTGGGCCGATGGCTTTTTTCAGAATTTAACGGAAGATTGATATAGCGGGGAGCTTCATCTTAACACTGGAAAAGCGAGAGAGAGGTCGCTAATTATGTTACTTTCCAGTGCATCCTTTTTATTAAGGATAAAGCAAGAAGTAGCCTTTCCACTTTCTAAAATTTCCTATGAGGCAGCCTGAGTCCCCCTCATCTCTGACCACCGCATTAATACCAACTGAACCTTAATTCAGGCCTGTCTACCGCTGTTCTTGTATGGTATGTTTTGCCTGCATTTAAATGGTCCAGAGCCATCGTCCACAGGTAGCTTTCTCCATTAAGGAAGAGACCAACAACTGGTTATGTAGAGCTAGAAGGTAACCACCCCAGCAGCATGAGGGTACGGTGAGGAGGTAAGATCTCTGTGAATTACCACAGTCAGTACAGGGGGTGAACCCAGTTTTATTCTGCACAACCCTCTACCCATCTAACCAACTGAGCTATCCCGCTTCTTACCCTCTCCCATCCCCAAACATTCGAACATCCGTCTAGGCATCAGCATGCGATCCATAACACGCATCGTTCAAACCACCCAAATCATCCATTTCTGTAAATTGAAACGAAACTTGTTTCCTGTGTCAATATTGACGACAACAATCCCACCACAATGTAACAATTTGATTCAGTTTAGTTTACAATATACAGCGAGTGAGAAGAAGCTGTAGGTTTAGAAACAGCAAAAAAAACTTCGCAACGAGAGAAACCAGTAGAGCGAAATACTGCACTAAAAGACTATCAAATGTTTTGCACCTCTCATTCTTCGGGATATTAAAGAAACTTAAACAGACAAGTTAAAGCGAAAGTTCGTTTGCAACTTTATTTCCAAAACTTAAAAACAGTTCTTTGCAAATTGTTGTTTATTTCCAAATTAATACTGAATAACCCTCACTTGACCTGGTTTGGACCCAGGCTATAACAAATTAAATCACTGTTTAGTGTTAAAATGGTTGCATGTTTGAAAGTGTTCTTGGTGCTCATCAAGGGTGGTTGCTTTATAAATTTATAGGTATAAAATAAAGCAGCAATTAAGTGATTTTTCATATGGCATTGTATGTTTTCCGGGAGCGATGTAGACTTTGTTTTGTTACTTTGTACTTTATCTCTGTTTTTTGGAGAAATGGCTGATTGAACCCGCCCCAGCGCCCATGCGAGCAGCAGCTGGCATACTGATCTCTTTCGCTTTAGAAATAGTGACACAGTTTTATTTTACTTGCCGATATCTTTTGTCGTCGACGGGTACAAAATCCATGAGCAACATGTAGTCAGCCATCGGATCCATGCCGAAAATCTTCACTTGAAAAGTCGGGAACATTCTCCTAAGGATGGGAAGAGAAATGAGTGAGGCGATTAAATAGCGATGTACTGCCGTTAATTAGCGAGGAGCCTTTACAGACGGATTACTCTAGCCGGCTGCTTCTAACTCTCAGACATTCCGCAGGTTACAAAAACGAGCTTCTGTCTCCCTCATGCTATTCTGAAGTCTACCTTAAAATATAATTCATTGTGCAGGGTGTTCGGGATAAAATGTGCTTTTACGCATTCAATTCCGACTCGGAGAAACTTTAGTTACGCATTTAATAAATATATATTTCAGCCCAAATACGGGAGATCCAAAACGACCTTTCTTGTCCTATATAACCTTTAACCCTCACCTACCCCAAAATAGAAGGTCAAAATCGTGCTAATTGGACCCATCTATCTGGTTATAAACCTTACAGGCATAGAGTCTTATCCCTCTCCTGGAAGTTAGTGATCCTCATAATGATTCCACTATTAATGCCTTTTCTTTAAAAAAGCGCCAATATCTAGCAAGTTAAAATAGCCTTTCCAGCAAAAATTATATCAGATTCCGATGTGAAACAAAACTGAAACTGAAATATTAACTCTCATGCTTTCGAGCCTGCTGTTTCCAGCATTATCTGTTCTTGTTCCAAATTTCCAACATCCGCAGTACTTTGCCTTTGAGAATGCTTAACCAAGACAATTTCTTTAGACCATCAGATAAACAATTATTTTAAGTACTAAATAAAAGAATAATTTTGTAATAAAAACACAAGTCGAGCGTCTCCATAAAAGGATCACAACAGGTGAATAATTGAAATTAATTTGGAAAACTAGCTTACTGCAACATAATATTGACTGAATTATGTATTGTCTGTCCACATACAAGCGTCCAGTCAGCCATCCTCCCATTAAAGTTCAATTATTATTTAAGGATTTTCTATTTTGGTCTGTGCGTTAGATTCAAATTAAGCGCATTCGAAAACAAAACACATAAATGATTGTCATGCGTTACTTTGTGGTTTATGCGAGTTTATTTTACAGCACTTTTCATATTTCATTGCACTCCATCTAATCCTAAAGTAGGCACATGCAGAATGGAAGTGTTCTAGAATTGCTGTGTGTCTGAGTCTGAGTAGGTGAAGGTGTGTGTGGGTGTATATGTGTGTGTAAGAATGTGTGCACATATGTGTAGATGCGTATAGGGATGAGAGTTTAGGTCAAAGAATTTGTATACAAGAGCTTAAGAATTATTAAAATTATTTTCTTCAAATTTCAGCGTTAATTAAAACACGAATTTAGAATAAGTGAATCTTTAAGAAGTGTTTATTTCTTTGGTAAGAAAATGCCTGCTCGACATCATTATTGAAACGGGGCAATTTCAAACCACAGTCAGTCTTGCCGTAGTGAAATCTTGAGTGAAGTGTTTGGGGATCTACATTTTACTCTGCAGGTTTACAGATTTTATTCTCCCGTTTAATTGAAGAAAATGAATTTCACTTTGTCATAAAAGTTGCTGTTAATATCAAATTGGGAGTGGGGAGTGTGGTGGCGACCAGGAGAGTGAGCTTGGACTGGTGTGCACAAACCGTGGCCGAATGGCCTGGCTCTTAGCTGTAACACCCTACCATTCTGATAGGGAGAGAATGTTTGCCTTTGCCGGCAAAACTTACAAAGAAGGACATGTTTTAAGGCATTGTGTTGAAGGTTACATTATCCTGAGTAGTCACTTGATGCCACATTAAAACCATTCCCCCGACATAAGTTTTTTTTGAAACCACATTGTGTCTGAGCGACGTTCTCTTGCATTTTGCGCGGCCTATCTGAACTGAACTGACTAAAATCGTTCACTAAAACATGGCATTTTAGTTAGTTGTGATGTATGAACACTGCTTTGAATTTTGACTCCCATTTTTGGAAACTATCAAGTCAGGGTGTCTTCTATCTTTCTTGCTCGTGGACAATAGTTTTCAGTTTAACATCCTTTCTCGCAGACTCGTTTGGAAAGGTTTTCCAGTCATTTTTTAAAATAAAAAAATTCTGCACTATTTACAGCTAAACAGCATGACTCTCGGCGAGCTGAGCAGCTATATTATAGAAAGACCCCGTGATTTACAAGATTCTAAGGGTCTGTCCAAAAATCTACAAGTATATTTGGCAGTGATTAAACGGATTAGTTTGATTTTATGCCAAGATATTAATATAGGCGAATGCACAGAGAGAGAGAGAAAAAATGGAGTCAGAATCTTTTGAGTGAGTGCCATCATTTTGATGACGATTGTTGCAAACATAAGCAAAAGAGCAACGAAAGACAAACTAACGTAACACGTACAGACAGAGTTACTAAAATTATACCGAAGGAATGAAGGGAACAAGCTACATCAGAACATCAACTTAACTGATATTAAAAAAAACATTAAAACCTTAGGCTTCTGCAGAATTTGAACACAATAGACCCTGGGTACCTATTCCAATATCAATGCTGCTCACCCCCACCTCCGTGCTACCGCCATTTGCTATCAAACAGGACTGCAGCTAGAAAAACATTGCACATTGCCCCTGAAGGTACGGGAAGCAAAGCAAATAATCTCGCTGTTGAAATCAGGCGCTGTCTAAATGTTACTTTTTTTTGTAAAGTTAAACATTCAGAGCCATAGAGGTCTACAGCATTTTTTGGTAATTTGTTTTTTTTTAATACGTGGCATTGATCCCACTCAATCAGGTTTAAACACATTGCTTCCACTTCACAAAACATTAGAAAAGCATTTTATAGAAGAAAACATGGCCGATCAAATTGAGATCTTAAACTATTTCGTTTTGACAAACTGAGGCTGAGGTGAAATAGATTTTGTTTTGAAAAGTGTCAGATTATCGCACAGTTAGAAATTGTGCAACATTTTGCGTAACATTTGTTTTCTTTTTCATTCTGCAATATAGACCGACAACTCAGATACTTTCTTAATAACACAAAATATTAGTAATGTATATAAACTGCAGAATGGTGTTGAGGGCTGGTGTGAGGAGGTTCGGGTATTTGGGGGTGGGGGTGGGGGAGACAGAATTTATCATTCTGTTCAGAGTTTCAGTCTAATTTTAAACCGATTGGCTTTTGTAAAATTTAAACATTAAAAACTTTCGATTCCTTTACCTAAATGTGGAGAATATTTACAGAAGAATTAACAATTCCAGGCTTGAAGACAAAAGACCCACAGACTATGGTCAGCAATCAGCCAGGAAACAAAGGTTTTAGTTTGTTGCAAGGGTTTTTTTGCAGACTCTCAACCATTTCACTTATTTGTAAGTCCAAATATTTCAATGTATTGTGGCTGTGCAGCCGTCACATCCTGTAGGTCTCCATCTGCCCAGGGGATGGGAGTGGGCCACGGATTGAATGGGGTATTCGCGGGCTGTGTTTGTTCAGTTTATCGCGAAATACTAAGGCCGAGTGCTCACAAAGCGCTTCGATAATAGAAGCTGCAAGTCAGAGACAGAGGGAGACAATGCTCCGTTTTTATCTGTTTTCACAATCTCCCAGGTCGAGCTCTCGCTCGTGCGACATCCTCTCTCGCTCTCGAGGAGAAAGATGCGAACGGGATAGAGAAAATAAAGCAGAAATCTACCGGATTCACTACAAGGAGACTGATGCTTCAACTCACCTCGGATTCCCGAGTCCACCGCGGGGTAATGCAACGTGTCCACTATCTCCACATTTAGCGCTTCCAGGCGGCGACTTACCCCTAACCTCCTCACACCAACCCCTCAGAACCATTCTGCAGTTTATACGAATATTGTGTATCATTAAGAAAGGATCTGAGTTGTCACTTTGTATTGCAGTGAGCAAAGTCTCGACGTTGCCTGAAGAGGGGTTATACCCAAACATTGACTGCTCCTTTCCTCCAGATACTGCCTGGCTTGATGCGTTCTTCCAGCCTCCTGTTTGTCTACCTTGGATTCCAGCATCTGCAGTTTTGTTTTTGTCTCGACATGTAAAGTTTGATTTGGGTCCTTTGGTACGTTCTTTGAGGATCTCGCACAGCACCGAGAGAGAGAGGGAGGGAGGGAAAAGCGGCGATCAATTCCGAATTTCGGGAATATTTCTAACCTTGGATTCTAACGCACCGTAAATCTAATCGGGAGGGGAATAGGAACTGAGTGAGGTGTCTCCAGGAGTTAAATCCTGGAAGTTTAAATATCCCGCTGCTTTAAACAGTTTACGTAAATACATTAGAGCCGGGTCGGGTTTTAACTAGACGGTATTTTGATATCACTAGAATTGTTCAGATGAAAGTTATACACTTTTTTTGCGGTACTCTGTTCATAGTGTTAGAGGTTCGGCTAAACAAAAAGTTTTCTAACAAAGGGAGTCGAGAATTTTTTCCTGAAAGTTTAATCTTGAGAAAGGATCAGGTTCGCAATGAGAGGTTGTGGGGGAGTAAGAGAGAGACAGCGATAAAAACATACAGACAATTGTGGGAATATGGCGGCTGTGTATTCAATTAAAAAGAAGTTGCCCGCTCCTTACCTCCCTGCTTTGGTGACTATCATCTCTGTGCCGAGTTGGTTAAACTCGTCCCACAGGGCTTTCATTTCTAGTTGCACCGTGATGTTCGCTACTTTCGGGTTCTTCTTGACCGGCGCTTTGCTGCTGCTGGTCGCGGTGATAGAGGAGCAGTTGGAAGGGTCAGTGCTGCTGTCTGAGGCTGGGGCAGAGCCGCCACCGCCGCCGCTGAAGCTGCTACCGTAACCGCTGTGCTGAGCGCCCGGGCACGCCTCGTAATGGCTTTCGTGGTTGTAAGGACCCGGCTCCCCGGGAGAAGGCGCGAGGTGATACGCTCCGGACGAATTCAGACTGCTAATACTGTTGGCAGTAAACGCTGCAACATCGCAGAAATGAGAGAGCTGGGTTAACCAAGGGCTGGAAATGGCCGAGATCATTGTTCAATTTATTCCAGGCGTTCTCTCCGGAAATAAAAGGCCTGGAATATTTTCTCTTTCTTTCTATTAAAGCAAAACAGTTTAAATATTTTCTCGTTCAGACCTCCTTTCTCTGTTTCCTGTCCTTTGATCTTTCTCTGTTGCTTTCCCTGCCTCTCCTGTGCTCTCTGGCTCTCCTAGACTGACCTGTGTGGTAATGGTTTCCGCACTGTTATAACACTGCGGCGCAAAACTTGTTCAGAGCTCTTATCTTTAGTGGAGGGCCTCCCATCGCTATGAAACCGGTTCCTTTCTCTCTCTCTCTCTCTCTCTCTGTGTTATTTAGATAAACCCCTCAAGGTAATGTGGACCTCGCTGCCTTGCGATGGAGCCTGGATGCTCCTGATTGACAGGACAGTGCCCCGTCTTCTTTTAAAATGCACTTTCCGACACCCAAGTTGGGGAGGAGGAGGGAGAGAAACTCCGGTCTCATACATACACACACACACTTAAACAATGGGGATCCACATTGGCACTGGGGACCCCTTCAAACAATAATAAAACAGCCACCATCAGTAAAGAAGGCCGATTGTCAAATTAATCCGAAAACAAAATCCCCTCCCCTCCTCTCCAACCACTCCCCACCCAGCCTGAAAATTGGATCCGAGTTTTTTTTTGGGGGGGGGCGTTGGTGTAAGGGAGGAGGGAACGTTCTCTACACATTTCACGCACCTAACAGTAGAGTGGAGGGCTGGGAGGGTTGGGGTGGGAAATGACACATACCAGATCCTATTTTTATTTGCATTGGTCGCTGACACACGATTGTGCAGGAGGCAGACAGCGCGGTGGATTGGGGCCCCTAGTGTTAGCATGGAGCAGCTTCCTTCATTTATAGAGCGATCGCTCTCCGGAGCCGGGAGAGAAAGAGAGAGGTGGTGGTGTTGGGGTAGGGGGGGGGTGGGGGGGGGGGGCGGAATTTCACCCGAAACCAGCTTTTCTAGCGCTCACACTCCGCAAACCGCGCGTTCCCGGTTGGTCACCCACCTTCCATGTCTCTTGTCACGGTGCTAAAATGCATCCTACTGCAAGTCAGACTGGCATCGAAGTGTTTGCCGAGGGCAGGACTTTGCAGAATCGCTTCGTTTCCTGGTTGCTGGGCCGCTGTAATCAGAGAGGCAATACTGAAAGCATTCGCCTTGGGAGAGAGAGGACTGTTCTCGTCCATAGGAGATGGCTCTAAAAACGCTCGAATCTCCCCCTCTTTGCTTCTGTCCTCCCCTTTAAAAACAGAGCGAGAGACCCGAGTTTCAGTTTGTTTTTTTTTGATTAGACACGGATCTCTCTGAATTAAAAAAACCTTTTTATTGTCTTTTCCCTTTTCCAAATCAAAGTTGGGGGGGGGGGGGGGGGGGGGGGATAAGTTACACGGGATGGGTCCTCCGGGGCCACGGTGAGACAGAATTTTGTTGCATTTTCCTAGCCGGGCTCCTGTTTGCAAAAAAAAAGGCGCTGTTATTACCTCGAATAGGTAGGCCGATTTATCTAAAGGATGCGTTCATCAGGGAGAGGTGAGATGGGGAGGGAGTTGCAGGGAGGGGGATGTGCCTGTCGGAGCTGCTCCATTCCGCATGGATTTACCCCCTCCCCTCCCAACACCCCCTCACCCCCTTTCCCAAGAACGGCGCACTGAGCTGACTGCAAACTCTTCATGCACAGCTGCCTGGCCAATTCACAGTCGGGCCCACCTAAATGAAACGCCAGCGGAAAGGAGAATGTCAAAAGCGGCTGATCCCACCCCTGTCCTAAACCCCACAACTCCCCTCACCCTGTCTCACGACCTACCAACTCCCCTTCTCCGGCCACCAATCCCTGCCGCACCCCGCGCAGCACCTACAACGTGCTTCCCATGTGCTGGTTTATTCGAAGAAGTTCCTGTCAATCACTTGAAAAGCAGCCAGAAAGTCAGCGAGGTAAGGGAGGGAGGGGGGTGGGGGGAAACAAAAATGAATGCAGGTCATTTCGGATCTTCGCCTAGCAGGATTCAACTGCTATGTTGAACTAAACACTAACCCCTGAGCAGTTGGCAGTGCTTCCAGACTTATGAAGGTATGCTTTCACTTCGCCCCCGCGACCGAAACGCCCAGGCTATCAATAGGGAGAGCAAATAGCCAAAAAAAGGACAAAGACATTCTCCCTTCATCTGTGACCGGGAGCAGGGCCTGTCCACTGGATATGATTACAGGATGGACAGCTGTCCAGTTATAAACTATTAGCCAGAATTTGACTCTGGTGAATTTGCTAGTAAGAACCCCGGTCAAAATACAGCAGCTCTCTCTCTCTCCCTCCCTCTCCCTGCGGGTCCAGCTACCCGAGTGTTTGAATTTAATCGACGTTATTAAAGTACCGAAATCTAACATTTTCTAGGCGGAATGCGAGGCAGTTTTGAATTCTTGCACAGCTCACATCAAGACTCCGATTCTCCGGCTCCTTCATAGAGAGTTCAGCTGCACGTTGGATTATATCAGTCTGTCGGACAGTGTGTGCAAGCAGCTATGAAGGAGAGTATACGTCAAGACTAGAACTGTTTCAGGTCCCCTTCCCGCTCGCATGCATCTGTCTCTCTTTCTCTCTCTGGCTTCACAACCAAATACCTACATTATTTTTCCAATTCATATCAGTATTGAGCGTGGATTTTGGCACCACTTAATACTTTTAAGGTAACAGTCAGCACATACAGCGTTACGACCTTGTACTAAACAGTCAGTATATGACCTCCTACTACCTCCAACAATATTTCATCAAATTGTATTTACTTCAAACAGCGGAGGCGGTTCTGTGATCTCGCAGCACACCGTCTGAACGCAATATTGGCACAGTGTACATTCTCAAATTCAATTTCGAACCATTTATACTTATTTCATTATCAAATTAACAGGGTGTTGAAAGAACTGTAAGTTTTGGGGTTGTGCTTTTGTTTTGCTTTTGCAGTCGATTGTGAGTTGGGCCCAGTTTTAACCTGTGACGGCGAAACAACACATTTCGGAGCTACCCCGGAGAAAACTGGCCTGCCCGGACCCATTGCGGGTCTCTTCTGATTGAAAGTCATTTTAGCCCATTGACCTCTGCTGGAAGTTAGGCTGGGAGAATTGAGGGGGATACAGACCGCACTAGTTGGTATTTTCTAGCTGCCAGGCTGAACGGTGAAGCGACTATATATTTCACCAAACTGTTCCACACACATACACACACAATGTCAGTGACTAGTATCCGATCTGAGCTACCATTGTTGAATAACACATGTTCCTGGCCTACAGTAGACGGGCGATACAGACCTTCTGGATTGTTGCAAGGTATTCGCCTCGTGACGTTAAAATTTAGCCATCATTTCTGAACATATATATAAAATATCATAAACACACTGAATTTTATGTAGATACATACACGTATATATAAAATGTATACGATGTATATATGTATACATATACACAAACACATGTATATATAAAATATTATGTACTATATATTATATATACATACACGCGCGCGTACACACACACATATATAAATGCACATATGCGCGTATGAGATCCGGTGTGCTTATGATGTTTTATAACAGGCGCGTTATATTGTAAAATATTGTGAGAAATAAAATGACCCCGGGTCTTCATGAGTCGATGTTTAATACATTCGCTAACTCCATGCCGGCGTTTTTTAAAACGCGGGCTGCCTGATGCCCTGTTTTACTGCGGGTCACTCACGCTGCCACATTGTTGCTGGGGTTTAAAACTACAAGATGGGGCTGCCGTCGGTGGCTGGAAATCCCCGGTGCATGGAGCTTTCTCCCCTTCCCGTTTAGGCGCAGTTCCTTCTGAACACCCCCCACCCCGTCCAAAATACGGAGGGACGTATTTTAAGACCACCTTGTTACAGGGTCTTATGTACTTTAGGCATCAATCACAGAGGTTCATCGTAGCCTTTGCTTGCCCCAATCCCTCCACCGAGATTTATTCGGGTTTTCAGAAAAGGACGTGAAACTTGCACGACGGTTGACTGAAGTATTTACTCCTTTAAGTAGCTGAAAGCAAATCTCTACAGATAAGAAAGACAAGGTGATTCATGTTCTGTCTGTGTAATGTACGAGCCAAAGCCGACGCTTTTAATCATTGCCACGTCGGAAGTGTCTTTTTTTTACTCTGTAGGCGTTAAAAGATAAAATGCATTGCCCGGGTACAGGAGCAGCAGAAGCAGAGGGTATTTTCTACGTGAGTCCCCAGGGACCAAGCAACACAGGGCCGCCCCGCTATAAGCCGGGGCCATAGCCCAGTCCACAGACAACTGTCCAGAGATGGAGGGATTCGACATAGAAACTCGTGTTTTTTTGTTTAAATTCCATTTTTTTTTAAAAAAACGCCGAGCAATTAGTTATAGCAGATTACCACATCTCTTTGGGACTGCCTCTCTGTTTTCGTTTCGATTGACACTACACCTGCCCTCCACCCAAGGTGAAGGTTAGCTGAGCCAGCGCAACATTGAAGAACACTCAAAGAGCTCTTTAAAACGCAAGAGATTTTGCCGAAAACAAGCATTACATTTAAACAAGTAAACTGAACTCGAAAGGCTCTTGCCTGTTGTCACCCTCAATCAAGCTCAGTTAATTTAGACATTGTCAGGAATGATTTATGAAATCGTGCCTTAATTTAGACTCAGTTGACATTATTGCTCGGAATAAGGCAATACTTACATTGCAATTGGTGGTAAACAAACATTGTTTTCCGTACAGATTCTTTGCCAACCTCTCTTGAAACTCCCCAAGGTCTCTGCTCAAGAATGTCCTTTTAATGCTGTTTTTTTTTTGTCGTCCTTGCTATTGGCTGCACGTGTGCCTCTGGTCTCTCTCAATGACGCATCAAATTTACCTTAACCATAAAGTTTTAATCGACTCATTAACGATGAGTTGAATTGATTTGCACGCCTTGTGTATTGTGCTTTAGTCTTACACCTATCGGGCCTGTCCAATCGGTGACCAAATTAAATGTTAAGGCCTTCGCACCGTAACCAGTAGCTAAACATGCTTTAAAAAAAAAGCTGCAATTAACAATTTCGTACATTCACGATCTGCGTCCACGCATGCATTTAAGGTAGGATAATTAAGCTCAATATTCCTGACCCTTGTAAATGGTCTGGTTTTGCTAAGCGCGTGTTCTCCGCTTTGGTGGGTGCACAGGGGCAATCTAAATTTGTCCAAACGTAAACCCTTCGCTGTACACAAAGGTACGCATGGGATAGAAACGCGCATGGTTGACACAGGACCTTTAGAAGTGAAATCTTTCACCTGAAAACTGAGATTGATGAATGAGCCAGTGTTTTGTTTTACTGTGA